TTAAGGAGGGAGGCAGAGTTGCCTAAAGTCGAAACAGGTGCATGGACTTGTGTTATAGCACGTTGGCTGAAATTACTGTTTTTTCCCACAGGTTTGAGTTCTTTCCTTATTGAGGAAACTACAGTATAAATCAGTATGGCCAGGACTATTTTACAAAAACTTCAACACCTAGGCTTCTAGTGCATTTAGTGCACTAGAAGTGCATTTAATGCATTTAGTGCATTAGTGCATTTGAACAATGTATCAAAGACCTGGAAGTCCAATAGGACCAGTCTGCTCTACCTAACAACATTTTTCTGAGCAGTCAAGCCCTTTTTTATAAATCAGTGAGATACATGATATAATTCTGAAGGGCACTAACTCTAGCACATTGCAATGCTCTTCCTACAGCATTTTTGGTGGGCTGATACAAAGAATTTTCATATGAGCTCAGTTTGTGCCTTTGTGGACAAGGAGCTATTAAAACTGTAGCTCATGTCCTGCTATACTGTACCTTCTATAAGAACTCATGGACCCATTTTATAACTCCCTATTTGGTAAAATACCCAGGAAATTCTGATTTTTTTTATGTACAGTTGTTGCCATCTGATCAGTATGATTCAGTTTCTTTGACCATAGCTAATTTTGTTATACTGTCTGTAAAATAAGGCAGACTTTGATTGCCCACTGATGATCACACCTTTAACTGTAATATATTATCATATTTTGTTTTATTTCATTTTTAATGCATTTTATTTGTAATTCTGGTCTGTGACCATAATAAATATTGATTGATTGATTGATTGATTGAAACCTAATATTAAACAGTTTCTATTCCCAGCAAATTCAGATCAATTCTTTACTATTACTGCCATAAGGCCAGAAGTCAAATACAAACTAAGCAGGTACTTATATACTATAAATATAAAAGATGCAAATAAAAGATATAATAACATATAATCAGGTAAAAAGCAGAAGGCTTAAATTAATACAATTCTTCAGTCACAACAAAAGATGGACATATACGTGTACAGTTAAGGGCACAAAATTGAGCAACTCTGGATATCTGAACATGGATGGATGGAAAGACTGGCAGACAGAAGTCATGTTCTCAACCTGGGTGTTTCATCAGGATTGGAAGGATGTAAAGAGAGCAGAAACGAAGCATGTGACTCAGAAACTACGGAGCCATCCCCACAAGGGCATCTGTGGCTCTTTTGGGGTTGTTTTTATAGCATCCCAACAGAGCAGCAGAGAGCGAGGCATCAGACCTGGCTAGAGGAAAGTCCAACAGAGTTGCAAAACAGTAATGGATGAAAGGCAGGATTTAAAAAAACAAAAATCCCCAGAGCTGAAAAGTATAGAACCAGACTTAGTTAAATTTAAAAATCAATATCCCAGATAGACTGCTTTAGAGCATTTGTAGCATTTTCTGAACGTAATGGGCAATGGCTTCCTAATGAGAGTCTATATTGTCAAGGATGTCAACTTTGTAAGAGTCCCTGGCAGGTGGTCTTGTTGTTACCTGGTAACACCTGAAGAAGACAACTTGCCAAACTTCCCAGGGAAAACCTGAATGGTTTCTTCTGGTTTCATCTCTTTCAGTTAAATTGTCACCACGTATATTTCTGTATTAATGTTTTTTTTTTCCTGATGGAAACAAGGAAGAACATAAGGTAACTTGATTGAATTTGAAAATGTTACATCTTATAATATTGAATGTTTGTTAACAATTTATAATTTATTAGTGAAATATGATTCAGAAACAGAAAAAGTCCAAGATTTTATCATTAAACAGAGGAATTGTTATGGAGATAGAAGAGTGGGAATTTCAGTGGAAAAATAATATTAAATTTACCTTGAAGATTGTACTTGGAGAGAATTTTTGTAAGATGTTTTAGCACTAGTACATTACCCTAGTCATGACTGTGAAAACGAA